TAACTGGCTTTAATAATATATTTGCATGTGTATCTACATAAATAATATGCAAATATATGTCACATGCGTTGCCATTTGCCTTTGCATTCCGAGCCTAACGGCTTTCTACTTATAAATACTTATGTGCTAAAGCTTGTAATTGCGAATTATCTGACAATATTCTTTAAACTTTAACGTTGGACTATGTTTTATATATATTCACTCCCTGAATGATTTCTATATTAAGCGATTGAATTTTGATACGGCATGTCACAACACAATCTCATAATTTATAATTGTACATGTACAATACAAACAAATGGTAGCTTCTCATTTGGCTTAGGGTTGTACAAATACTTTCGTTAAATATGATTCAGCTACAACTTTGAACTAAAAAAAACAGGGCTACACAATAGCCCAGAAAATCGTAATGAGCGTGATAACTCTGGATAACTCTAACATTGACCTTATTATGATGCTAATAAGCTTAACATTTGCCTTATCATTTGATCATTTTGAGCAAAGCTCTCTTTATTATTGTATAAATGTGTACCAAATGGCACTGAATAGTCACAATGCATATCAATGACTTATATTTATGATGATTCCTCTGATGTAAAGCCATAATATTTAAAAAATATAGCATGTTAACATTGACCTTATCATTATGCTAATTAGCTTAACATTCACCTTATCATTTGATAATTTTGAACAAAATTCCCATTATTTTTGTGTAAATGTGTACTAAATGTCACCATATAGTCACAAGACATTATCGATGAGCTATATTTATGATGAATCTTCTGATGCAAAGCCATAATATTTAAAAAATATAACATCTTAACATTGACCTTATCATTATGCTAATTAGCTTAACATTCACATTGAGCAAAACTCTCTTTATTATTGTATAAATGTGTACCAAATGGCACTAAATAGTCACAATGCATATTGATGACTTATATTGATAATGATTCCTCTGATGTAAAGCCAAAGTATAGAAAAAATATAGCATTTTAACATTGACCTTATCATTATATTTTGTTGTATAATGTTCACTCCCCCCTGGTAAATGGTTCTTTTGCAACAAATAGACTCCTTAAGTAGATAAGTTGAAAATAATGGGAAAATAAAAGTGGCATCTTAACATTCTACCTATCATGTAGTGTGGACGCGGACGGGGACGCGGACGCGGACGCCAAGACTATAGCAATAGCTCTAAGCTCTCTTGCACTAAAGTGCAGGCGAGCTAAAAATGGTCGACTTTATTGATCGAGGTAAACAATCATGTTAGCATATGGCTGCTCACGGCTGGGCTTCGCATTAAATTCCATTCTATAAAGCTGATAATTCTTTATTCCACTTTTCGCAACAAATATATCATTCACATATTTCTGGATTACAGTCTGTGGCGTAGCCAGAACGATAATTGGGGGGGCCCATATTCATATATTCGTGATACGCAGGTTTAATTTCTTTTCAAATCAATTGTCTTTACAGTCTGTTAACATGAATATATGAATATGGGCCCCCCCAATTATCGATGCTGGCTACGCCACTGATTACAGTGGCATAACCTGATAATGCAGATAGCTATAAACATGGTCATTATTTTTGTACATGCATGGTACGTATGATAGCAAATTTTAATAGTCTATTCAAGTTACATATACAACAGCTTTGGAATAGAGTCGAAATATCGCAACAAAAGTATTGTCTTGCATGTAATTTTATAGCTCATATCTTGAGTTTAGCTCTATCAGATTAGATCTTTAGTTCTATTTAAGAAATAGAAAACATTTTTCGTGTTTCTATACAGTTATAGAAACAGGCGTGGGAGTTTGGGAGAACGAGAAATAATCAGTAGGGCGAGTTTTTCCACGTTATTTGAAGTTCTCCCAAACTCCCACAAGTGTTTCTATAACTCTATAGAAACACAGGAGAAGATGTTTTCTATTTCTTTTATGATATAACTTAATGAAAAGATTTTGTACAAATATTGTAATTCGATTGAATTACAAATTCTCATTACATCGCTTCGCTTGTCAACAAAATTCCCGTGTTTCTATAGAGTTGTAGAAACACGCTTCTCGACGAATCAGCACGCGCGTACTATTGTTATATTATCGTAGATATTGTTTTTCGTGTGGGTTTTTTTTATTGATAAATTCAATAGAATAGATAAATTGGAATTGTAAAGAATGGCCCTTTTTTGATACCTTTTATAGTTAATACGATGCACAAATTCAGTAGCTAGTAAGCGATCTGAAAATGCGTGTTTTTTATGTAAGATTATAAAGCATTGCGGTTTAATAAAATAGCTACGATCGACCTACATAAACACAGCGTGTTGTTTTCTGCACTAAAGTTATCGAAATTTCTAGAGATTCAATTCGAACCAACCACTGAAGCATTCCGCGATACAAACATATATATGTAGCCGCGTATTTCACCGTGGTTAGGCACTGCTTTGTCAAAAATTAAGGCAACTGTCAGGAACAAGACACCAAGATACAGCAAGCCTTAAAAACGAAACAAAATGAAGTGGAAATATTGATGCATCACGTGAAAAGTAAAGGTTAACGCTCCATTTCGGATAGATACAACATTTTAAATCATTAAAGGACCAAACGAGACACCAACCCCGCAATTAGTTTTGGGAGAAAGGGTTACGAGGGAGAAGTGCTCCAAATATAATGTAGATCTAATGTAGACCTGTTACAGCTTTATACATGTAGTTTATAGTACAATTAATTATGTAGTCCTGGCCAAGGACTCTGATGTCCTCAGGGGTCGGGTATTCCCATGCATGTTGGACGTCCTCAGGGGTTTAGCAGCTGCTCCCCAGTATTGGACTTCGCCCAAACGGGATCATAGCTCCCCTGATAGGTGTCCTAAATGTCCAAAGGGCTAGGTTTATACTTATGTATCGACAAGAATGCATGTAGATTTATGCGAGTCTATGGGGTAGAGGGTGACCTTCGGGAGGACTTCATCTCCACAAATACGCAGCATGCGTATTCCCCATAGACGAAACCCTCGCCCTGAAAAATTTGTGTACACGATACATTGGTTAGTTCAAATCTTGGCAAGTGTGGCTGAAACATTTGACAATGTTGAAGACAAGTTTGAATATATAGCGTTCGTAACAATCCGAAGACCAACGTCCCAGTGTTTTTTTTAAGAAGGTAAGCTAGCTGATGCTGCAGTTGTAGCAGCGCCAATGCGATAGCTGTGACCGGCGAAATTAAAACCAGCGAAACCTGCTTGTGAAAGCAATTTCCGCGTTCCCGGGGTTAGTATTTGCTTCGAAAGTGGTCTTCCCGAAGCATTCAGAAACAGAGATCGATTTGTTGTTGCTGGTCTGATGGCTAAATATCGCTTCCTTGCCTGAACAGGACAGGAGTTTTTGTACCACCGCCGACCGACGCAAAAAGGATCGGTTTTCAATTTTTTCAGCCGAACAAACATCGTTAACAAACAGGCATTAGATTAACCTCGGGGTTAAAGGTTCCGTTGCACGTAAGCTCGCCCAGCCTTAAAAAGCCAAAATTAAAAATGCCAAGCTCATGGCCGCCCATAACATAGTAGAATCAAATCACGTTGAGGCAGGTATGGCAAGCATCAGGTGAAACAGTTTTAGATGATGAATTGTTATTGGAAGGCGAACTCGTATGTTATCTCCTTGTCAGCGTTTAATGGACCAATTGAAGGCGCAACATCTTGTTGACCTCTAACTTAAAGCCATTGCGGATATGAAAGTTCCGAACTGCTGTAAGGTAATTTTTGATTGACGAGTGTTTAATGGTTTTAGCTAGGTAAGCGGAAAACTGTATTAAGGTGTCTTCTCTGGCGGGTAAGAGATGTATGACCCCATTGGGTCGGTATAATTGAACGAAATTGATAAAACGCGTTTTACCGGCAGTCCGGCACTGTATGTCTGTTTGGTTGTAGCAGCCCGGGACAATTGAATATAGTAGGGGATATCATCCTTCAAAGTTGTAGCAGGCAGTCTGGAATTTTGTGTGAAATTGCCTCTGGAATTCCACCTTTTTGTCTGGAATTTTGTGTGGAATTGGCAGGAATAAACTTGCTTAAACTACAAGCATAAAGCTGTAACGAGTCTAAGGGGTAACTTTGACCTGATAAATATTTGCAATATATTTGGAGCACTATTGCGTCAAAACCCTTCCTCGCACAACTAATTGTGCGTTTGGTGTCTCGGTTGGTCCTTTAATGATCTATAACGTTGTGTCTATCTGAACTGGAGCATTAACCTCATTTTGATGCATCACACGTCAATGTCAGAGACTTTTTCACGTCGTAGTATTCACGTTTCCTACTTCTCCTGCTTCAGCTTCGGCCCTTGTACTAGTTAGTAACAATAATACTCAAAGTTGGGACTACTCAAAGTAGGGACTAAGGAATACTTTGGGAATAAGTAGATTCTCCCCTCAATGTCATCTCAAAAACAATTTTTAGCTAGCGTATATTTTTAAAAGTGTATCCTAGGCATGCTGATGAGCCTAATATGGGGCGAAGCAGTTCAGCTGGTAGTCTGAAGACTATAATTTAAAAAATGAACATCTTAACATGCTAGTAAATGAGTCATGCGTGACGCCATACGTGACGTCATAAATGACGTCATAAAATTTGACTAAGGTATGAAAAATCCTAGATCCGCACCTGTATCCAAGAACTGGCCCCGTCGTTTATTCTTTAACATGTTGCCAACCTAATCACAGGCAAACTTTGCGATCTCGTATATGTGTCGCATTTATAAATTTGTTAAAGCAATTGCAAATTTAATTTTCTTTATATGGATATTTGTTTTCAATTCATGTTTAGCTACTTACTTATAGTTTTTCTGAAGACTACCCGTGTTCTTGCACCCGTCAATCAATTCTTCCACCCGTCCCACCACTGCCTTTATGTGGCCGGCGAAATCGTCGTTGGCAAGTGTTCAAATGTAAAGGCACCCATCCTAATCATTATATCTTCTATATCTTATTTAGCCTGAGGAAGGAAATTTAAAAGCTGGAAAAGGTAGAGTATGAAAAAAAGAATCCGAGTAACAAGGTATGTTATAATATTGAAGGCTTTTAGAAACAGCCACGACCAGGAGTTGTAATCAAGTAAGCATTGCTATTGAAAATCACGAATAAAAATATATTGTCCTTAAATAATTACGAGACCATTAAAACACGATTAACCATCTGAAAAGCTTAGCTATTGACATTACTTCTGTTGCTCACTTAGTGATCGATGGCAGATCGCGCTTCAGAGGTGCAAAACAGTATCGATGTGGGCGAAGCTCACGTGAATTTAGGTCATTATGACCAGGCTATCGACTGTTTCAAAAAGTCGTTACAGATGGCCACGGCAATCCGCAACCAATATGGTATAATTCATGCTAATATGTGTTTAGGAGATGTTTACGAAAGATTGAAGGACTATGAAAAAGCTATTAACTATTTGAAAAAAAGCTTAGAAATTAGCACTACCATTGGTGATACGTTTTTAATGGCAGAAAGCAATCGCCAGTTAGCTAATATTTATTATTCTTTAGGAAAGTGGGAAATCGCAATTAGCCATTGGAAAAAAACATTAGAATTAGGAACAGCAATTGACAATCAAGAAATAATAGCAAAAACCAAATACAGTTTAGGCTACTCTTACGTTCAGCTAGGAAGAAACGACGAGGCACTTTTATGTCTCGAAGAAGCGTTAAGAATTTTCACCGCCATTGGCCACCAGAAAGGAATAGCTGAAGCTAATATGAGTTTGGGCATATTTTATCAAAGAATGAAAAACTATGAAAAAGCAATTAGCTTTTTGAAAGTCAGCTTAGAAATTAGCACGGCCATTAGTGATCAGTCATTAATGGCAGAACAGAATAGAAATCTAGGCGATCTTTATCGTTGCATAGAAAAGTGGGAAAGCGCAATTGACTATTATAAGAAAACATTAGAATTGGGAAAAGTAATGGACGATCCAGGGAAACAGCAAATGTCAAATGGAATTAGGCATTTGTACATTAAACTAAAAAGAAATAAGAAGCACTTCAATGTTTCGAAAAAGCGTTAAGAATTTTCACCGCCATTGGCGACCAGGAAGGAATAGCTGGGAGTAATAGCCGTTTAGGTCACATCTATGCTTTTTTCAGTGAATATGAAAAGGCATTTGCTTACTTGAATCGCGCTTTAAACATATATAATGCTATTGATGACCAAAATGGAATTAAATATGTCAGTAACGAATTGGGCCGTGTTCACCAGAATAAAGGTGAATACAGCAAAGCCATCGAATGGCACAGAAAATCTTTAGAGATAGCAAAGACGGTCGATGACCAAGCAGGTATAGTAGAAGCCAATTGTTATTTGTCTTTGATTTACCAAAGAATGGGAGAGGATGAAAAAGCCATTAGCTATATAAAAGAAGGCTCTATAATCGCCAACGCTATTAGTAATCAGACATTAATTGCAAAAACCCATTTCTATTCAGGTAATATTTCTTTTAAATCCAAAAACTGGAAAAATGCAATTGACCATTATGAGAAAGCATCTAAAATTTTCATAGCAGAGGGCGATCAAACTGCCATAATCACGATCAATGGCAACTTGGGAACTTGTTACCGTGAACTAGGAATGTATGACAAGGCTTTGAACTATCACAAAGAGAGTTTAGAATTAGCCAAAACGACTGGAATGCCATCAGGGATAGCAGAAGCCAATAGACACATCGGTATTATATATAGACTGTTGGGTGATCATAAAAAAGCCATTGAACATAGTACAAAAGCTTTAAAAATAAGCACTGATATTGACAAGCCGTTTATGATAATACGTAGTTATGAAGAACTAGCAAATATTTATAAGAGTTTAGGAGAATACAAAGTTGCATCATCATATTTAGTAAAACTTATTAAAGTTCTTGAAGAGCAGTTCCAAAATACGGTTCCGGATGAAAACAAACTCTCCTTCACAAGTTTTTTCTGTAGAGCTCATGGAGAGTTAATGAGTTGTTTTGTTTCTCTGGGGCGCATAGAGTCAGGATTATTAGTGGCTGATCTGGGAAGAGCTAAAGAGCTCCATTTTTCCATTGAAAGAAAACGAAATTATTTAGATGCACAATTGTCTCATTACGCACAATCAATCTGGAGCAAAATTGAGAAAAGGGAGGAAAATCGAGAAATAGAGCGAATACAGAACATTCTTCAGGTAAAAAATAATGAAATTTCAATTGTGTTATTTGCATTTGATTTCAATGAAGGGTCTCTGAAAGTTTGGGTTTTGAATAGCGATGTCACCTTTAAGTGCTTACATGATTTATCGATTATATGGGCGTTTGTGATAAATTTTTCTGCAAACAGAGGTGTGAACGTTAATCGAGATTCTTCATTTTTTAAACTTGATTCACTCGCGAATGAACATAGTTTTGAAAGTCCCATGATCTCACCGCCAACCAAGCCGTGTAAAAGGGAAACGCCTGAAGACTTGCACGAAAAACATTTGAGCGCAGATAGTTGCAGTGATGAAAATAGTTTGAAAAAACTGTTCGATTTTCTCATTCAACCGATAAGAGATGCCGTCAAAGGGAATAAGCTCATTGTTGTTCCTCACGGGCCACTGTTTTTTGTACCATTTTCGTGCTTGATTGATGAAAATGGGAGGTATTTATCTCAGAGTTACAGCATTCAAGTAACACCCTCATTACACACTCTGACGTTGACCAAAGAACAATCCCAGGACCTCGGGTTTGCGTTGTTTGTTGGTAATCCAAAAGTTGGGCATGGCACAGATTTTATAGCTGATGACCTACCCAAAGCAGCTGAGGAAGTTGTAAGTCTTTCGAAGCTCTTCACAGCTAGGCCTCTCGTAAATGCTGAAGCAAAAAAACAGGTCGTTATCGGACTTTTAAGCGGTGCCAGTATAATTCACATTGCTGCTCATGGTGAACCGGAGAGAGGTGAAATAATTCTTGCTCCTGACCTATCTGCAAATGAACAATCTTCTTCTCTTCCTAACCAAGATTCCTATGTCCTCACACAACAGGATATTACAAGCATTTCATTGCAAGCTCGCTTGGTCGTCCTATGCTGTTGTCACACAGGCAAAGGTGAGATTTCTCCAGAAGGTGTCATAGGTATAGCTCGGTCTTTTCTTGCTGCTGGAGCTCGCTCTGTTCTCGCCACACTATGGGGCATTGATGATGATGCAACAAAGGAGTTTATGGAAGTATTGTACGGGGAACTGCTTCAGGAAACACCAGTTTGTGAAGCTTTAAGAAGGGCAATGAACTTCTTTCAGCAACACGAAAGAGAAGATTACCGCTCCTTTTCAATTTGGGCTCCATTTACTCTCTTTGGACATGATGTGATGTTTACAAAAGTCGAGATTGAAACGATCAGAAAAAAATGCAGTGAAACTCTACCCGAGTGTGGTTTTGCGTTGTTTGTTGGTAATCCAACGTCAGACTTACCTAAATCCACCGAAGAGGTTAATTCTCTTTCAAGGCTTTTCAAAGCAAAGGCCTTCGTTGAGGGCGAAGCCAAGAAACAGGCTTTGCTGGGACTTTTGAGCGAGGCTAGTATTATCCATATTTCTGCACATATTCAACCTAAGCAATGTGCAATAATGCTTTCTCCATGTGGCTCCTCGAGTGTGGAGGATGACATTTTGGCACAAAAGGATATCCAGGGTCTTTCTCTGAAAGGTGGCTTGGTTGTTTTATGCTTTTGTCATGCTGACCAAGACGAAATCTCTCCAGAATGTGTTGAAGCTTTAGCTCTGTGTTTTCTTGCAGCCGGAACTTGTTCTGTTCTTACCACACTAAGGCACAGTGACGATGATGCAACAACGGAGTTTTTAAAAGCATTTTATAATGAATTACTGCATGAATTATCAGTCAGGGAGGCGCTAGAGAAGACCGAAAAACTCTTTGAAAAGCGCGATGAAGAGGCGTACCAATCCTTTCTAGGTCGGTCTCCGTTTACAATCTACGGAGAAGATATGATGTTTCAAAAACATGATGTTGAAACGATAAAAGGGAAATCTCGCAAAACGTTTTCTGATTTTGTTGTGTTACCACCATTAGATGAGCTTACTGGTTCGTTTGAAAATCTTGATGTACAAAATGGATCTTAGTATAGGTTATCCTTGCGTATTTTGTAGTTTAGTTTAAGAAAAGAGTACTTACAAGTTCTGTTTGGATCTATATTGGGTAGATTTCTTAGTCTTTGCTTATCCAAGAGATATTCTAGCAATACACCCTCGAGCGTGGATGAACACAAGATTCACTTGAAACTAAAAAAATGCATGGTTCTGATTGTAGTAAAGAGCCTATGTGTTTAAAAATTATGTCTCAATCATTGCATGCAAGAAGCGCCAAGTTGCGTAAAGAGTGAAATCCACGTTGCGCTAACGTACGAGGATCGTGTATAATCATTATATAATCTTGACTTGGAAATGTTTTCGTTAAACCTTAACCGTGTATATAGACACAGTTTTGACAAAATAGTATTAACTGACATGTATCTGTAATTTTTCACAACAATTAGCAGCTATTTTCCAGTGTTTCATGTGCGTTAGAAAATCAGTGATTCCATCACAGGCTGTTCTCCACGAAAAGATCTTCTCGTTACGTTCCAGGCGTAAGTATTAATATTCAAACTCTAATGTTAAATAATAGTTTAAACCGTAAAAATAAACCGTTCGAAAATCGAAGATGCTGCCAAGCTGCATGCTACTTATTGTGTGAATCATGCGACTCTGAATTTGTTTTAAAAAAAAATACAAAACATTATACCGGCCAGCGATGTTATTAAAACAAGCTGGTAAAACCAACGTGCACTTTCTTCGAACTTCTTTTTGAACCAATTCATTTCATGGCAGGAAAAAATTAAACCATTTTCTAAAAGAATACCAAATACGCATGCGCTAACCAAAATGTTAAGAAAAATTATTTGGAAAAAGCAAACCAACAAACATTGTCCTAAATAAGTTAATTGGCTTGCAGGTACACCACGTAAGAATAATAAATACTTATGTGGTGTACCGATATACAAGCTAATTTACTTATTTGCATGACATCACCATGCAAACGTACAAGAATATTATAAACATTGTCGTATTCAACATTTCTTAGATACACGAACTAGTACCGTGTATAGGATTTTGTACTCCACCATACACCGGTATCTTTTTTCCAGAAATTCTAAAAAAATACTTGGAGAATGCAGTTCGCGTAGACGGCAGCTTAACTGCAGCTGTTCTTTAAAACACTATTGGCGAATTTAATCCAGAAATTGCATTTTCCAAAAAATGTTAACTTTTAATGGAGGATAATCAGGAATTGCTCAAGAACCACGAAAAACGCTAACTCAGCAGCGCTTGAGAAACCATAATGATGGAAATGACAGCAAAAAATATTTCGTTGTTCTGAGCACAATCAATTAGCTTAACGCTATTTTTAATGTTAGGTATCTGACATTCAATATTATAGTAATCTTAATTCTTTTATTGCATGAAAAATCTATGTATAAATTGTAAGACAGTACACAGCACCTAGTTTTCACCAAAGGAAAAACGACCATTAACCTACAACCAATATTCCATAACCTGGTGGAAGACAGCATCAGAGTTGCATTGGTATATTGCACGAATGAGAATCAACGAGTGCGATGAAATAATTCGAGTTTTGATGCCTCATATACAAAGACCACATCCCAAAATTGGAAGCAGCCAGGGTCTATTTATTAGTCGTACGAAAATCTGCCAAGGACACATCCCGTATTAGATTGGAGTCACTTAAAACTCGTATTGTACACAATTATTCAAACGCTCTTCGCAAGTTTACAATCACAAGTTGCCATTAAATGAAATACCGTGAATTTTGCTGGGGAAACTCGGCGCAAATGCACATTCCTAACAAAACATAAATACTGTTGTCGTGAAAATACGTAAACCAAGAGCGACGATGTTTGAAGAAATTAACTTAAACTCGAGAACGAAAAACGGTGAAATTTCTGTGTTGTGCAAAATGCGGAATGATATAAGCTGAAAGATACAAGACTAAACAAGATAATTAGGCCTATCGATGGTTTTCATCTGGTGAACAGTGATTATGTGTTAATATATGATCAGATGTCAGTTGAATCTCTATTGCTTAATTACAACGATTACAACATGACTTTCTCGGAGGATGCAAAATAACTTCATGTACGAAGCAATGAGAATACTATAAATAGATTTATGGTCCAAAGGGTATTGGTTTAAAGCTCGTAGATCATTAACTTCATCATTGTGATTTTATTCGAACAGTATAGTTCACGAGAGATGGCACGGCAAATTGCGTCGAAGATTCTATGTCGCATTGCAAGAAACTACGAGGAGATGATGATCCACAAGATGGTTATAAGGAATGTTGGTCATAATTTCTGTAAAGAGACATAGAGTTAAGCTTAACTGAACAAATAATTTTTGCAAGTCACAGTCGTGCCAGTAAAATTGTTCCTATATAATTTACACATCAGTTTATTTCCTCCTTAATAATTAAAATTTTGAAATCTTACTGCAAATTACCGAAAAGACCAAAATCATCTGTACCTTATCTTGCACCTTATTGAGGTACAATTTAAAAATCGCAAAAATATTATCAGAATCAGGTACGCAGTGTCAAAAACTCCCAGCAAATGCATTAAATTAAGCTACAATACTCCTAGAACACTTTCACTACCACGGCTGTTGCTCCGCATGCATGATCTTTAATTTCCTACTACTGGTGGCGATATCTTGATTATCCTCCATTTGTTCACGCGATTACAGCTTCTTTTATGCATTTCTCACGCCGTCTGCTGTCGGACACAGCAACTAATAGTAATTTAATAAACGTATTCACTATAAATATCACTTCACCTGGTAAACATTTTAGCATAAAATCTAGCCTTTATGAAGGACCAAAGTATCATTGGTTAGTAATAATTAGTAAATGCATGAACATCAATCTTAGTTAACTTTTTATCTTTTAATCGTATTTAATTGTCTCTGAAAGACACCATTTTAGTATTTACCCATGTATGCTATTTCAATATTTATAATATACTGTTGTTTTAAGAATCAAACTGTTTATTTTAAGAGTCAATGTCTTTACATTTTAGCCAAATTTAATCAAGGTTTTTAATGTTTGATTTCAATATTGTCAGATTAAGTTTTTTAATATTAATCTGTGACAAGACATGAGTGCATGAAATGAGTGAAACATTGCTATTGACTGCAAGGAAATATAACTTTGTGAACAATAATTTCCAAATAATAATTCCGAAGCAATGGCGGGGCATGAATTGTGCTCGGATATTTACAGAAAATCGAAATATCAAGTTTATCTTGTTTAAGGCTCATTAATTGGGTTTACAAAACGTTGTAATCAGGAAGAGTTTTCCGCCTTATACTTCCTTCACCAACACCCTTCCCGGGAGGTTGCTCGCTCTCTGCACTTACGATATTTTACTTTCGTAGAAAGGTAAGTATTCACGTTTTTTATTCTGTTGTCTGCGTGCCGGTTACAAAATTTGCACTGCTTTTTCGTCTCCTAATGAGCAGTTGTTTTGAGATTTATCATGCAGCTGCTCTGCTTTCTAGTTCATATTTCATTTTGAAATCTTTCATCCTCGAGATCAGTAGGCGACGTCAATCTAACATGCGGCGGAATTAATTGTTCTTCATGAGACCGTGGATATGGCAAGTGAACACATGCCATCCGATATTTAGGAAAACGAATAAGAATAAAATATAAATGCTACACAACAAATATAAGAATATAGCTAAATTAATGCGAAACAACTTGTGAGCAAATTGATTGAAAAATCAAGCTTCTTAGAATTTTGATCGTTTAATGCTTGGCATATTGCGAGATCAATCAGTCGCAAACTGAGCAGATTTTGCATTCTTCCTCAACGTACATTTTACTCTGCACGAGCTCTTTTCTCCTGAGCTCTCACGCTTTACACCTGACATTATCTGACATATACAATGTGAATGATGTAACACTAGCCAGTTCTCCAATCGGTTCTTGTCGCTCGTTTTCAACATTCTAACGAGCCCTTTCGATTGCAGCCATAAACGTCTGCTTGCTTTTCTAAGCATTCTGTCTCATGAATTCCTCTATTTTCTTTTAGTATAAAAATCTTAATATAAAAAACCATCTTAATAATAATATAAAAAATTCTTCCATACCGGATTGTTATCCACGAGGACGTGTAAAAAGCAAGTAAGATATTAAGTAATACCTTATTGTATCGTGTTTATGCTGGTGGTAATTCTTTTTAAAGTTGAGACCGTATAAAAATGCGAATAGGAAGCATTATCTATTCGCATAGGATGAGACCGCAGTACAATGGTACGTGTGCTAAAAAAATCATCATGATAAACTGAAATCTAGCCTGCTCGCACACTGAATTAAATTAAGTCTGCTGAACTGCGGGCTTTATCGTGTACGGTGACGTAATATAAACTGCATAATAATATGATAATTATTCGGGCGCACCGAATACTAAAATCCACTGAGCTATATAATAATTCCTGGAGGACCGGCTCGTCATTTTTCGGTAACTTCGCCGCCATCGTTTTGTCCGCAAAAACATGGCGGACTTCGCCCTTCTGCGCAACCGCAGAAGCTCTGCTGACGCCACATGGTTCCTTTTGGCTATGGCAGTTACCACTGACCGGGCTCAATAATGAGCCCGCTACAAGGGTGTTCTCCCCCCTGGATTTAGTAAACGACAGGTTCTCCCCCCTGGCCTTTATAAAAAAAATTTTCCGTGAAAACTTGTTTTGTTTTTTTGAAATATAAAGTCATGAAAACATCATTAATTGCATTTTTTTGAAATATGAAGCGTTTTTTTAAGATGAATACAAGTCGTAGACGCTGTTATTGCCAACGCAAGAACAAATATATATTAAAACGTCAAAAAATTGTGGACAAAATTGAAGATTTTCGTACAGGCGTTTTTGTTCGTGACAGGTGTTTTTCATTATATTTTCATTATTTCTACATTCCTATAACAAATACTTGAACTTTTTGGCACTATTGTCGGACATTTTGGGGACAATTGGATATTTATGGACATCAATTAGACTTTTTTGAACCCTGTATGAACAGCAGAATTACTGAAAGTATGCAATTAATAATGTTTTCTTGAATGGTCTTGAATGTCTTCAGAACAATATATCTAGGTATAATCCAAAGAAACAGAGGCCAAAGCTCAGGGGCAAGATGCTTGGCAGCTGACTAAGTGCAAGAATATAGTTTCAACCATTCATGAGTCATATTTGCATAATACACTTTTCAGTAAGGTGATCAGCTTAATTGTACCTCAATGGGCAATAAAGTTTTCAATATTATCTAATTGCACCCCTGGTCTTATTAATGAATAATATTCATCCCTCCATAGACTCAATTACTCCTGATTAGCCCATTGAATTTAGCCCTCTTGAGTTTGATACCATAAACAAAAAATTATAAAAGTGGCTGCAGATTGAAGATACACTGCTCACACAATGCATGTTTATATTTATTTCTTTTATAAATTAATATAACAATGGTTATAAAAATACCAGCCAACAACAAAATCAGATAACATGGTAATTAAGGATAACAATGCAGATTCATAACAATGTGTATAATGTGCTTAATACATCTCAGTTCAATGTTCCAACAAATTGCATGACAATTAATTAATAAGCCATCTCTAGCTTGTTTTATTTCATAGCTAGCATCTTCATCCTGAAAAATATAAATGGAGATCTGATCAAGATTTATTCACAAGGTGCAAGAAGTTA